AAGCAGGACAATAAATACATTGTACATAGGGGCAGGTGGATGCAAACAGTATAGTGGGCTTTCATTTGAAGGTGAAGTGGGAAGTGATATGTTAGGGCACTTTGAGCTTTTGATGTTGACTTAAATCCATTTGAGGGCAGAGTTTGGTTTGTTTAGTTAGATACTTCACCTAATTAGAAAATTATGTAATTTGCTTGTTTATCCCAATGTCGGTCCAACCCTGTATGACTTACTTTCTCCTGTGCAACACAAAAGAGACGTTGGGCAGAATGACTGCCTCAGTCACTCTTCACTTTCACTGTATGGGAAAAAAAGGCAATGGATGTGAATGGTGAGGCTGTGGAATTGAAGCAAGTATCTGAACTAGTTTTTAACAGCTCTGGTAGTTTGTCTACTTTGTTGGATTTTTGACCGTTGTGTACAGACCAACCAAAATCTTTGCTAGTTTCAAGTAGCCAGACATTTGTGCTTGGTGTTGTAGCTCAGTAACTTTTTAATATGATTTTGTTTCCAAGCGGACTCAAAACATACACTCGAAAGTAATATTAACCCAGCCAATCAATTTGGAGCTTGCAGTTTCTGTCATTTTGTGTGTGCAATGTATACTTCAGACAGTGCACTCTGTTGGTCTCTCTGGTTTCTAATGCCATCACAGACAAGGGCTGTCACATTGATTGACAACAATGCATTTCAGGTTGGCATCTGTCAGAATGGACTGATTAAGAGTGCTTTACTGGCTTCTCTTTCAGGGTCTGGATAGTTTGTCCATTCTAAGACGAGGACAGATGGGCAGGATTTCTTTTGGACACTATTCTGATTTCAAACTATCCATGATACTGATACTTTATTTGTCCACTTGGCACCAACATGTTAGCTAAAATACCAAAAATGTTTTTCTTGGGAGGGTCACATCTCTGGCTGTGAGAAGCAGAAATGGTGTTCTGTGGATGTTGATTGGGTGGGATAATGTTACTCCCAAAATAGGCCTGGGCAGAGACCTTGGGTAGAAACCATCCAACATGATATTAACAAGGGTGTTTAGAAACACCTGCTCTGATCATACCAGGTAACCAACTGGAGAAACCAGGAATCACTTCCAGTTCCACATTATTTCCCCGCATACAGAATCAGAATCAGAATCAGAATGAGCTTTATTGCCAGGTATGTTTACACGTACGAGGAATTTGTGACAGAAGCTTCCACAGTGTAACAGAATGACAGTGACAAAAAAACAAAACAAAAAAAACACAGATAATAAAAAAATAAAATAAAAAATAGAACAAGTAAATATGGAATAAAAATATACAAATCGACAATTGTATGTACAGGTATATAACAATAGACAGTTGTATGTACAGGTATATTATGTGCAAATTGAAATATAGACTAAGTGTGTGTGTTAGATAAATAAGTGTATGAGTGAATAAATAGTGTGTGTTCCACAGTTATTGTCAAGTGTTCATGAGATGGATTGCCTGAGGGAAGAAACTGTTCCTGTGTCTGGTCGTTCTGGTGCTCAGAGCTCTGTAGCGTCGACCAGATGGCAACAGTTCAAAGAGGGAGTGTGCTGGATGTGAGGGGTCCATAGTGAATTTGCCAGCCCTTTTGCTCACTCTGGATGAGTACAGTTCTTGGAGAGAAGGGAGGGTTGTACCAATGATGTACCAAGCAGTCAGGACTGCCCTCTGTAGTCTTCTGAGGTCAGATTTGGTAGCTGAGCTGAACCAGACAGTTATAGAAGTGCAGAGGACAGATTCAATGATGGCAGAGTAGAACTGTTTCAGCAGCTGACACTGACACTGACATAAAGTATCACAATTTGAATCACAGCCTTTGGGGTGACATAAAGCAATAACATATTTGAGCTGTGAAATTAAAAATTACAATGACGACTGCTATGATTCCCAAGTTTTATGATGTTTTTTCTGAATTGACTTACTTGCAGATTGTTTTCTTCCTGATTTCTGTGTGGGCCTGACTGTATCCATTGCAGCAACAATATTTCAAGTTGTCTACCTCCACTGTTTAAATTCCAGCAGTATGCATGTCTCTTAAGACAGGCATGGGGCTCTTTAAGAGCTTATTTTGAATGTCGTGACACTTTACAATGTGTGAAAAGGGGCTCATTTACAACGTGTTAAATCTGGAACAAAACATCCCAGACTTCCTTTACGTCTGTGGATTCCATTACAGTCAGTGCATGAGTCAAGGTTATCAGACTAAACTACACATTAAAACCAAATATGCAACAGAATAATTAGTCCATGTAAAGTGACAGCAACTTCAAGAGAAGGGTAGCTTTGGTCTCTTTGTAAGTACATTCACACCAGTATTTTCACAACAAAAGCAGGGATTTAGGATTTTATTTTAAGTAATTTTATGTTTTAAGCCCAATATATTGCCAGAACAACCCTGATATTCTTTTATTTAGAAATTTTATCAGGTTATTCCACACCGCTGATTTATAATGTCATATATTTGATGGGAAAATTTTGGAAACAAGGAACACTATTCAAAACTTATTTTTTTCCAAGTGAAACAGGATTTTTATCAAGAAAAATTGGAGGAGGAGACATGATTTTATCCATCAGAAAATAATTTAATGATCATGCGTGTGTCATCCAAGAATAGATCCTGGTGGTTGGTGGGGAGGGAGGGGTTGAAGTCATTTAAGAGGCATTTTACATTTGGCAGACAGTTTGTCTAAAGTGACTTGCATTGCATTCAAGGTATACATTTTTATCAGTTCATGCATTCACTGTGAATCATACCTATGACATTGCCAGAGCCATGCTCTACTCTGTGAGCTGCAGACCTCTTTTTATAAAATATGTAGGCTATAATGTGCATAGATGAATCCAAAACAATAAATCCTGTAACATCTATATAAAAAAGTAAGTGGAGTCAGGTTTGAGTTTGTGTAATTTCTGCACCAAGCTATTCACCAAATGCAACTGCAAAAAGAAAACGGACTGCTTTCAAACTAGTTTTCTGAACACTGCCTCTGTCTGCTATTGGTGGTCCAGATGGATGCCAACTCATGCCATTAGTTGAGCCACTGCTTATTGCTAGTCAAGATTCTCAGAAATTGCATTTTCCATAATATCAACTGAAATTATATTGCTTACAGCAATAAGTTAATATAGGGTTTCCTCAGAATAACAAGCAATCTGGAAATCAGTCAAATATAATTCAGTTATGAAATAATGTATTTACTGTTCAGAGCTTGGTTTTGTGGTTTGTGTGTGCCAGTGTTAATTTCGTCAACGAAGCCGAGGACGAAAAATATTCATTAACGAACATTTTTTCTGTGACTAAGACCAGACGTTAACGAACTAAAACTAATATCTGATGATAAAAACTATGACGAAATTTATGCCACGTCTTCGTTAACAAGACGAGACGGGACTATAATGTTATTTGAGGACTACCGGACATTCAAAATACATCCTATCAGTTACTGTCTTGTCCTTCAAAATGTGAGTCCCTGTCATTAGATTGCAATCGGATAAGGGGCGTTTGCATATCTAGTCTCAGTATGGCAGCCGCAGTGGATGGACAGACTACCAAAACGCGAACTAGCGATCTGAAACAATGGCCTCAGCACCCGAAGGGGTAAGGATAAGGTGACCAGACGTCCCGTATTTTCCCGGGAGTCACAATTTGTTGTCGATTAACTTAAAGTTAGTGAAGGCGGGATAGGCAGAATCGCGCTGATAGAAGTGCTATCTCTCTCTCGCGCACACCCCACTTCTTCAGTTCTCATATACAGCGCGCGATTAGTTTCTCAGGGCTCAAATACACACGCAGCAGTCCAAATGTCTATCGTGAAGAGTATCTCACGTAAATACAGTCGGTTATGGATTAAGTGAAACAGGTGGGTGAAAACTGAACGTGACAAAAATGCAATGACTTTTTGTCCACTAAAACTAGACTAAAACTATGAAAGACTCAAATGACTCAAATGTGACTAAGACTGGGCCTATTACGCCTTTTTGTCTCAAGATAAAGACTAGTCTTAAGCCCCGTTCACACCGCCAGTGACACACAGCAACAGAGCGACATAATCCCATTTATTTTCAATGGAGAGCTGGCGACTTCCGGCGACATGAGCGACAGGGACCGTTGGAGACGGAATTTGGGGGTGTCAAGCGATGCGAGTCAAGCGACAAAAGTTCAGAATTCTTCAACTTTTTGCAAATAAGCAGCGAATTTCGCGAGCGACAGTGAAGTCAGTGGAGAGCACGTGATTCATCTGCTGTAGTGGAGTGTTACGGGGTAACTAGGCAACCAGTAGTGGGAACGCCCACTAGCGACCTCAATTGCCAGCCACAAGCGACTAGCAGCGAAAAAGTCGCTGGCGGTGTGAACGGGGCTTTAATCAAAAATGCCTGTCAAAATTAACACTGGTGTGTGCGAAAGCGAGAAAGCTTGGGTTCCAAATAATTGTAAAATTGCCTGAAAGTGTTCTAAAATAGTTTTCCAAAGAATATCACTGAACATTACCACTACTGGAATACTGTCTACATGCAGCACCCACGACATGAATCTCTGATTTATCTACAGTTCCTCTTTCTGTAAATTTTTTTTTTATTATTATTACAAGTGCCATCATAAGTGCAGCATGTCCTCTTTAAGACACAACAAGAATTAAAACTCAGCGAATGTAAGACATGATATAATTATATAATAATTATATAATTCACATTAATGCACGTATAGGCTAATGTACATTAAAATATAAATAGGCTATTCTTGAAACATTAACAAACAATTAATGCACATTGATATTATGCCCTATGCATATATCTTACAATAATGTTTGTTAATATAGGCTAATTATTGAAAGTTATGCTATGTTGTTATATTAGAAACACAGGCAGTGAGAGAGACTGTCAAAGATGGAGAAGAGAGAGTTAACGGGACTTTGAGGAAACGGGGCGGGCTCATTTACTCGTGTTGGGTTTCACACACACACACACACACAGACTCACAGCAAACATGACTTTCCAATGGCCGCTGCCTCATACGGGGTTCTTACTCAACTTTTACTAAAACACGTCTGAAGGCTCTTTATGACGCGCTTATTGCTCTTTTCTTGAGCGGACAGGGAACTTTACTGCAGCATCGTGCTGATGAAATGCGCGGCAGGCAGGAGTTGAGGCGGTGAGCGGCAGCGGGGGCGGAGTCAACAGGTTCAGGTATTTATTCAAGATCTTCATTTACTCTCTCTCCTTCACTAAACAACTGCTGAAGATAACACATGCTAGAGATGTTATATTTAGGGATTGAATATGCAGCATGACACTGCAAGATTAACTTTGTAAGTTGTTTTACACAAAGTGCGATAGTGCTGAATAATAAGGGCAGCGTCTCAAAGCTTATTGAATATACTGTACCTAGACAGCATTTCAGGGCATACACACTGCTCATAAATGCGGTCTAGGTAGGCAAGGTAGGTTTTGCCAAGATTATTTCATACTTTAATATGCTTATAGCCTAGCTGTTGTATTGTCTTTTGAAGTGAAGAGTCAGTCGCTCTTTATTTCACTGCATGCTGAAATACATGAGAAGAACATTGTCGCTGACATACAGGGTACCTGTATAGCAAATGTTTAGAACCTAAATACGATATTGATAATTCTGCAAAAAAGAAAGAAAAAAAATTATTATCTAAACTTATTTTGTGTAGGCATACCATTTAAACATGTTTTATTTCCTCAGATTTTTAAAACACTCATCCGTCCCTCCCAAACCTATAACAAAAGTGTCCCTCGTGGATCAAAATGACCCGAAGGCCAAAAATGACACAAATTTTATTTTTGGTTCAGAAAGCTTATATTGGAAAATTTTTCTATCAAATTTTTTATGTAGGTTTTTCTATTATTTTTTTGGTGATTAAAAAAAAATAATATTTACCTTTTATTCTGGATATTGTGGGGGCGTGTTAGAACGAGCCGTTTTAGGGGGGTGTGGCAGAGTCTTAACTTTGATAAAGAATATCTCTTTGGTTTTGAGACTTTAGTCTTTGCAACTTCAGGGATCTTATCTATGAACAATCAGCTTGTAACACTCCAAAGAGAAAGGAAAACTTGAAATCGCATCATATGACCCCTTTAAGAAAACATAAGCAAATAAGCAGTTTTTGTACATTATTTCACAAAAAATAAATAAATAAAAAAAAAGAAAGACAATTTCAGTCCTGTTTCATCAAAAACCAACAGATGGCCTTGGAATTGAGTCACTGAGTGTCTGTGATGCCATCTGGTGGGGAAAAATCGTCTCTAGGTTACGTATGTAACCATGGTTCCCCGAGGGAACGGGACGGAAGAGCAGAAGCTGGTTTGCGCCCGGCCGGATGCGCTTTTATGCTTTCTGGTGCTTACGTCACCCTGCTCGTGACGTCTCGCTGCTCCATTGGACGGATTTGACGCGTGCTTCAGAACGCGGTCACGCAAGGGCGTTCCCAAAGCGACTCGACGCAGCTCGAGTTCCTGAAGGGGAATCTTAGATTTTTTTAAATTTAAAGATTTTTAAATGAGCAAAACAAGAGAAACATGAGAAATGAGATAATCTTAAGGCTTCCATTTGGTTGTTTATGAATGAAAATATATATTGAAACATTACAAAATCCAAATTTCGTAAAAAAAAATACAAAATACAAAAAATTCTAACTGAATTATAACCTAAATATATGCATATTCATACAATTTCATAAATATGAAATAAATATATAATATATTTTTAAATATATAAATATGATATAAACTCATTGGTCTCCACCACATCACTCAAATCTGTGTTAAGAAAAATGACAGTCATATCAGAAACATGAAAAATATTACAATGTGTTCTATATGAGTGTGTGTACCATGTGTGTGTGTGTGTGCGTGTATGTGAGTTTTTTCTGCATTGGGGATATTCTGTAGTCTCAGCCCTTCGTTTGGGTATAAATCTTTACTGGATTGTCTCAGATTTTGTATATAAAAAAAATCAAATGTAATGAAAAATGCAGTTTTCAGGTCAAAATGACCCGCAAGGGACACTTTTGTTACTTTTTTATTGCACCCATTTAAACTCCTCGAATCCACTAAATTTTGTGTGTGTGTGTATTCCCGGTGCAAGTGTGAAAGAAGTATCTAGAATCTTGAATCTCGTGTACTATCAATACACGATTTTTGAAAAAACTTTTTGGGTCAAAATGACCCGAGGGACGGATGAGGGTTAAATGCTAAACATATCAATTAGAAAAGGTTCAACACTCACTCTTGAAGAAATCCAATTTTATTTGTGACGTTTCGGTCATTATCTAGGCCTTCATCAGAACTACATAATGCTAAACATATTCACAAAAATGGTAGTATGGTAGAGTAATGGTTTAAGATGGTTTTGATATTTTCAAATGTCATAGAAATGAATGAATAGTATATTCTGTTTTACATATACTGCTGTACTATGTCACTGTTTAATATTATGTTTACCATGTTTTTTAAGGACAATTAAATGAATACAGGATATTTCTTCTCTTTCTTTAAATAAATAAATAAATGGTGACAGACAGTGGTAACTAATAACGATATGGGGGCACATGCCTGCCAATATTCAGAATAGTGGTTTATCAAAGTAGGTTTTTCCAGTTCAATCTCATGAGAAAATGTAAGCATTTTGCGAGGTGGCCATTCCATATAAATTTTTACAATGTGTACCACCAATTCACATTACAAATTACCATGACAGTGTGCTGAGTTTTTTATTGATTTATTCTTAAACATTTACATCTGGCCCTCCTAAACATTCGGTTACATCCTTGACAAAGACAAGTGTAATTGGTGAATTTTTGGTGAAGAGCTATAATCCCATAATTCAGAAGATCAGAGAAGTTGCTGTTACTATGGAAGCCAGAATCATGGCAAAGTTTGAAGCAAAAAAAAATCTGATTCATCTTTGAGTCAGATGATTTACTTTGTAGCTTAAAACTCTTTACCAAAAATATATCCAGAACCAAGGCTACTGAGAAAACAGCTTAGATATCTCATAACACCATAATGTGTTGAATGATAAGACAAACTCAACAAGATTGGCAAGGTGAAGGTAAGAATTTGTCTTCATATGAATATAGATGGATATGCTGAAAATTGCTTATTGTTGCAAAAGCTCTGTATACAATTTTGTACTATCAAGGTTTTATTTATCTCATTAAGTCTAAATGTTATTCTGTAGAATTTAAGGGAAGATAACTAATGCAAACCTTGTAGGTAATTAAATCAAGGTCATAGTACAATACACTCTTCTCACATGCAGTGTCCTGTTCACTGCGAGTTTAAGATTACACTGCTGACATTTTAGATCGTTGCCCAGTTTTTGTATGCAGCCCAACATGTCAACTTCTACCTCAGCCAATGGCTGGACTACCTGTTTGTCTGAACAAAAGCAAACAGACCTGTGTGGAAACAGTTGCTGTGTACGTGTTTATATATATACACTCTTAAGAAAAATGGTTCTAAACAGTACCAGAAAAGGGTTCTTCAGAATGCTATGGTTCTAAATAAAACCATTACTGCATGTAAAGAACCTTTAAAGAAACATATTTTTTTAGAGTGTACTGCATAAAATAAAATAAAAATCAGAAGATATCTTTGTTTTATAGTCGCATTTAGCAAATTTAGTTTACATTTTATAATGATACAAGCAATCAAGGTAAAGCCCTATGCAAATATACTGTATGTATGCGGATAAAGCTGAACATACTTTTATATCCAACTTTGTATAAAGAGTTGTGTGATACTATTGTAACATAGTTTGTAGTCACGGGAAGAAGGAGGCGGGAACCGGCGAACATTTAAAGATTTTAATAAAATAAACAAACACAAAACGAAAGTAAAGCGGCAGCCCCTCACGGACGACTGCCGCACACAAAACACAAAATAAAGTCCAGGCCTGGTCCTCTCTCCTCCAACACTGTCGTCACTCCTCCTTTTATCCTTCTCGAGCTCCTCCGTGAGACTCAAAACCGGTGAGTGGCGCAGGTGTCGTGCATTAGCACTTACTCCACCGGCCTCGCTCCGTTCCCACGGCTCTCGGCCCCGCCCCACTCGTCACAAATATACTTAACATTGTGTGACAAAGTAAAAAATTAGGCAGTTTTTGCTGTATAGTATATATTGCTTTACATGAGTGTACTGTATGCATTGTTTGTTACAAAATAGTGATTACACAATGACACAATAGATAATTGATTCAGCAGTGATCCAGAGTAACATTTGGCTAGAAAATTCCTCATTTTAAAATAACATAATTCCGTGCTATTTTACACAATCTATTGTATGTATAATATAGACAGTATGCTAATTTTCTTTATTCATGAAATGCATGACCTGATTTTTGCCGAAACAAGAGCGCATACTACAAGGAATACTGTATCCTACAATGCAGTGTGGTCAGTTTGACAAACATGTAAACAATGTGGGATGCACAGATATTTTTGCAAGATGGGCATTCAAATTGTGCAGTAAAAGCTGGTAATGCCATGGTGATTTTACTGCCTGAAGCCATGATGCTGCATCCAGTGCCTCTAGAGAGCATGTGAGTGTGGGAAAAGATGGAGAGATGGAGGGAAGGCAGGAATGGGAGTAGGGACTGGGAAGTTAAACCCTTATGATGCCTGGAGTGGATGAAGGCACAGACAGCTCTGAGCGGGTTACTCGGGAAATACCGAAGTTCTTTACCTTCAATACACACACAGTGAAATGGTTAAGTCTTGACTCCACTTATTTTAATACACTATCGTTTTATCTTCCTGCTTCCTTTGATGGTATTAGATAATCTCTACATGTCAGACAAAATTAAACCCTGAGCTCATCAGAGCAAGAAAGAAAGAAAGAGAGAGAGAGAGTTAGTGAGAGATAAAGCATAGATAGATGTTGAGAAAGAGAGAGAGAGAACAATTAGGTCATGCAGGTTGGAGAACACGTGCATGCTAAAAATCACTGGGTTGTTTTTCTACTCAAACAAGGCAATTATAGTTAACTAAAATTAAAACGAAAACCATAAAAACCTTTTGTTACATGAAATAAAATATATATAAAATAAACATTTTATTTCAGCTAGATGGCAAGGCCTACCATTTTCATTTAGTTTAACTCGATGTACGAGAATAACTAAAACTGAAATAAAATTAATAAAACTATATAGACATATTAAA